ACAAGCCCATGATGAAGGTTTGATTCCTCACGCAATCTTCATTGATTTTGAAAAAGCTTTCGATAGTGTCCCCCACGCTCTCTAATCTATAAGCTCGAGTCATATAGCCTCAATGACAGACTCCTATCACTTCTTCGGGATTTTCTCGCGAACCGCACTTTCTCGGTTCGCGTAAGTTCATCGCTCTCATCTAAATCCTCCATTTCTACCGGAGTCCCGCAAGGTTCCGTCCTTGGCCCCTTCCTCTTCCTTTTATATATTATTGACCTGCCACACAGGATGGGAGTCAATGTAGCGATGTACGCTGATGATGTGACAATTCGGGGCACCGACCCGGTGGCTGTTCAGTCAGCAATAAATGCAGTCAAAGACTGGTCTACTGCCGGGATTCTACCAATAAACGAAGACAAATGCGTGAGTATGTCGTTTGGGAGGGTCCCTGCACACAGCTCCAGGGTTAGCGCTTTCACGACCATGAAGAGTGTAGAACACCATAAGGTTTTTGGTTTCTGGCTGAACAGGTCACTCTCGTTCTCCTACCACCAACAAACCCAGTAGATCCGCCTTCCGTGTCCCTAACTTCTTAAAACGCTCTTTCCCCGGAATAGAGAGAGATGACTTTCACATGCTCTATAGCACGTACAGCCGACCCTTATTGGAATACGGGAGTCAAATTGCACACTCTCGCTTGGTGGGCGACTGCACGGTGCTTGAGCGTGTACAACGGAGAACGACAAAACTTGTTCACGGATTGTCCTCCACCCCCTACTCTACACGGCTTTCCATCTTGAATCTGTACCCCCTTTAAACCCGCCGGATACGAGGTGAGATCGTCCTACTGTACAATCTCTTCAAGGCCGGTAGGGTCGCTGAATTCTTTGTGCGCACTAGTGGGGATAATCATCGTGGGCATAGCATGAAACTCTTTAAACCGCCTGCTCGCACTCTAGTCCGTCAGTGCTTTTTCATTTACGGGGGCATTCCTCTCTGGAATAGCCTCTCTGAGAGATAAATATGCCCCCTCAAAATCCGCATTCCAAAGGAATCTAGATCTGTAACTGGGCCTAATTCCTGAACGGTAAGGTCTTCCCGGCCCATGGTGTTATTCATGTTCCGTATTTTTTCCCAACTCTCCGATTTGTCGCACTGCATGCAGATACTGCGCCCCCTCTTCTGCTCTTACCTTATTTCAGGTTACCTTCTTGTACAAATAGAACGTGGACTTAATCTAATTATCCAACATCGGCCGCAGTGAAGCCTTGTCAGTACCCAGCTCACCGGGACGCAGGACCAGTAGAGTCTTTGGAAACCACCAAGATACGGGACCATTGAGCCTAGCCTCGCACCCGTGTAATACTTCAAGACTTCGAGACTTCATCTTCTTTGGGCGAAAATATCTCTTCAACAGATATCCATTGTTACTAGGGGTCATCTATCTCTCCCCAACCAGCGACCAGACACAGGCCCAGGGACCTCTAAACTAACTTCGCTGTCATCGGTCTTTCTGGTCCTCTACACACGTCCTTATAGTCAGTGACTTTAACAACCCAGTCATTGACTGGATTAGGACAAACTCCAGCGATATCTTCTCTGTTCAGGCCCTTCTAGATCTTATTGCTGAGAGTTCTTGGCACCAACATGCGTGCTCTCCCACC